GTTGTACGGTTGCGAAACGTGCTCCTTGTATTGTGTTGGTCAGAGAAGGAAGTGACTGACAGCTTGTATCCTCGGAGTTTCAGTCCATGAAGGCACGTTTGGAATGTGTGTTCTGATCAGTTATTGATTGCTTCTTTCTGGAAAGACGTGGAGTGATCGGAAGTAGACCTCATCAAAGGATTTTTTATTGTGTAGCCAATATGGTAATGGTGTACTACGAATTAGCACAAGACAGTCCCTCGATCTTCTTGCTGAATTTTAGTGGAAAGCGCCATCCTGTTTGTCCGTTATTGATGTAAACCCTAGAATTCTTTCGTCAAGTTATGCTTAATCTTTGATGGCAGCGTGATGTGGTCCTGGCTTGACCGAGCAAATATATGATGGCAGAAGACTAGGACGCACCGAGGAATAGTCACGAAATAGACGCCATGCTCTCGGCAACGATGTCCGGCCACTGATGAGTGGTCTCGACGTATATCAACATAGTTTTAAACAAAGTCTGAATTCATCGTCCCGATCGATGAAATTGAAGAGGAAGAGAATCATCGAGGCGTTCTCTCATGGACGTATGCAAACAAACAGAGACATGTAGATGTATGCGGAATTAAGCCCAGGCGTCCATCCGAGAGTTTCATGAGGTTTCCTAGGGCTTTTAGCCCGGACGAGCCTCAAACAGCCGCTCGGATTGTTCGTTCGAGGTTGTCTCCTCTAGCGCTTTGCCCCAAGGACCTAACCACAGGGCAGCAGAGGCAACCAAACTTATTTAATGGCGGTTCACGGTCGCCATGTCACAGTGTTGTCATCGGGCTTTGCGGAATTTTTTAAGGCAGTCGGCGTGCCGAACCACACCCCTCCGCGTCCTGACAACACTGGCGCTCCTGGTTCGCGACTGCTTATTTGCCAGTTTCGGGAGCCGGCCTATTTCGCAGCTAGCCTTCGCTGAGTGCTGTTCCACTATTCTTCACCTGTGGTCACGCGGGGTAGCTAACATCCAGGTTAATGGGTAATCCATCTTCCCGGCCCTCCAGAGATTGGGTCGAGATACCCAGATCCGCTGCCGCAGATCACCACGCGGGAAAAGGTACAACACGTGACATCAGCGAGGCCGGCTTGGCTAGGCGTGATCACAGCTGTGCCAAGTACAAGGGAGATTTTTACGAGCATTTTTAACCCAATTTAGTGTACTGGAGACCGTCATGGAATGTAGGCCTTTGTCGAAATTAGAACATGATAACTTCTTTTATACCTATCGAGGGAATCTCCGTTTTTATTTTTCTCAGCAACAAGAACTCTCATTGGTGGCAAATCAACGCACAGGCCTTCCAAAAGTTCTTTCAAATTACTCTGGAAATAAAACCGATACAGACCTTAAGTTAGCTTCAAAATTAACAGCGTCAGCCAAAACCAGCAACCCTGGGCAGTCGTTTATCGAAGTAAAAACAAGTCCCAGTCATATCTGCCACAAAATGCTCTTCCAAAATGCCGCCGACGCATTTCAGGGCAGACTTGAGTTTTCCATCGTGCCTAAGTTTGTTCATGAGTGGTTTCCGAAATACTAAAAAGAATCAACGGAGTAGTTGGGTCTATCGACGTAGGTGGTATGGAGCAGTAGAAAAGTGCACCTGTTACAAACTGTGGTCGTGTGATTATTTTTTGCACGAGTCAAGCCGGCTGATGGTAAGACTAGATGCGGTTGCTGGTGCGAAGTAGAGCCACCATGCGACGTGTGCCACACACGCGCTCCGATATAACCGAAGTAAGATATGTTGTTAAGACCACATTAATGCTGAGTCGCTGCACTCCGACCCTCGTTCCAGAGGAAGAGCGAGTTGTTTCGTCAACCGGAGATTTTCCAGACCACGATCGATGGTGCAACGTCATAATTTCAAACACGCAAAGTTTTTTATAATAAGGTACTCATTGAAGTTCCATGGGAAGGGGCCTCGGTGGCCACTGTCCCCCTCCCCCCCCCTCTTCTTTTTTCAATGCGTCAGTGGCCATGTCGAAGTACGTAGACCAACAACCCAGGGTTTCCCAGATCAAAAGTCAGGGAAGACAAACTTTGCCGAGGCTAGAGAGCGTACTCATGGCCCAGCAGGCAGGGGTACCAATTGTTATCACGAGCCGTGTGCGAGCCGTTTTAGGTTACTAGCCCGTTGCGATGAGCATGCATCTGAGCTTTGTCCGACCACGGCCAACCGATGGAAATAAAACTACTGATCGGCGCCACGACGTCGGCGAGACCAAGACCTGAGTTACATGTGCTAGAGCAGTGACTGACTGACATCCAACTCTCATTTGTGACTCCCCGAAGCTAGGCTCTGTCTAACGGCCACAGCCCGATAACTGCCTCGACCAGCGGGCTAAACCGGATGGGGGTATCCGATGCTGTGTGTCTCCATAGCCTGTAATTTTGTTCCCATCCCCGTCCCTCTACCGTTCCATCCCTCCCTATCTACCCCTCACTTCCATCCTGAGCCTTCCTTCCCCTCCACTCATTGCCATCCCTTTCCTCTCCTCCTCCTACTCCGTTCCACTTCAAAAAGCCCTGCAGAGAGGGAAATGTGCAGTCCCCTATGTTAGTTTAGCGCACTCACTGCGTGGCCCATTTTAGAGGCACACGAACACCAGACATCCTCATCTGGTCTACCCTACCGGTTAAGGACGGTTGTTGGGGTGTGGCCACTGTGCCCTGTACGGCTTTGTGGGGTCACAGGTAAGAGCTGGGTACCGAGACGGACAAAGAAGGTGTATCCACCAGACCCACCTGTGCGTTCGATGGGGACTGCCGGTGTACCGCTTATAGTTTTTTTCTTATCAGCATAGTGAGGCTTGCACTGCCTGGCTCATTTTGCGTTGCCTATGTTGTATCATCGGGCATGGGGGTTGCCGGTGATGTATGCGGGGCAGGGTATACTCGTTAGTGTAGGGTCGGGGGACGTTTTTCCAAAAGCATCGATGAACCCAGTGTGACCGTACAACTGTGACGTGGATTCAGGCCTATTGCATCCCGTACATCCAACCCTTGGTACAACAACTCTCACGAACACCTTTGTTGAGATACTTCTGGTCAACAAACACGGATTCCTGAAGCACAATCTAGGGAGGCATGTTATGTTGGTCAAGCTTTAATGATGCTGGAGTTTGTACAATAGGATCAGCAAGCAGTATCTGTAAGTCCTTTCTTCAGGCGTGCGTGCGTGTGGTTGCGGATTTTGATCTTCGCTGCGTTCCCGCCTTTTTTCTGTCTGTCTGCAGCCAATCAGTGAGGGACGCAACGTCGACTGACCGAGAGCTTTGACCACTCCTTTACCAAGTTATGCGCGGTCTCAGCAGCATGTTGACGGGCTTTATAAAAAATACGCTGTGTTACAGCATTGCCAACATAGCGTTGCATTCACCATGGGTTAATCTTCACTTATATGCTGGGAAAATGTGCCACTGGGGACTTCACATGTGCGTCTTCGTAGTATTGTTGTCAAAGTCATGTTCTCCCCAACGGACTATCCTACTGTTGCACTAGACCAAAACAAGGTCATATTTGCTCATGCCACGTGTTTAGCTGCTTGAGATAAGCCAGCATTTATCCTCAGCTCTTGCCATACATGCACGTGATGCACGTTAAGCGTGGCTCAATCGCCCTAGACATTGAGCCGAATCCCATTTCAAATCGGCTGTAGCGACCCACTCGTGCCGTCCTCAGCACGGTCGTTTAGCCGCGTCTTCAGTTCGCCTAACGTGTCTGTCAATCACTGCTTTCGTGCATGCAACTCAGCCTTCGTCTCGCCGACGCCGTGATGCCGATCAGTATTTTTCTCTCCATCGATTGGCCATGGCCGGACAAAGCTCAGATGCATGCACATCGCGCCGTGGCTTGCACACGGCTGATGAGAACAACCGGTCCCCTCGCCTGCTGAGCCATGCGTCCGCTCTCTAGCTTCGGTAAACTTTGTCTTCCCCCACTTTTCATTTGGGAAACCCTGGGTTTTTGGCCAGCGTACTTCGACAAAGCCACTGACGCGTCGAAAAATGAAAAGATAGTGAGAAGGAGAGAGAGCATTAACCACCGATACTCCTTCTTATGGGACTTCAGTGAATTCCCTGTTGCAATAATTTTTTCGTGCTTGAATCTATTCACGCCCTCCGGCGGTCGTTTGAAGGCGGATAGTTTGGTTGTCCTTGGTGACTTCCATGTGCGCGTTGGGACAGACTACGCTGCCTGGAAAGGAGCGCTGTGTCCACATGGACCGATGGCTGCAACGGCAACGCCCCAACCCTTGCACCGAACACCGCCTCTTGCTGATCAGCTCATTTTGCTTTCCGGCGCAGAAGAAGGCAACCTGGATGCACCCCCGATCGCGATGCTGACAACTTCTTGATGGCTTTCTCGCTCGGAAACTAGATTCAAAGAACATGCTGGTGACCAAGGCAGTCTACGACGCCGACGGATAGATAGATCACTGCACCACTTGTCAACTCCTACGACACAACCCCTCTCACAGAGAAATCGCAAACTCTAAAGCGTTGGGCCGTTCACTTCAGAACCATCCTCAACCACCCATACAAAATCTCCGACCCCACCACCGGCCGACCCCCCACCCCTCGAGGTGGGGATGAATAATACCCTGGACCTCCCATCCTCCATTCCAGAATCCTTCAGTCTTACAACAGCTCTCCAGCCGCAAACTACGGGGATTTGACGCACTTACGGCTGAAGCCTATAAACACGGCAGCCCCTGGCTGATGCATAAATTTACAACAATATTCCAGGAGGAGTGGCGACAAGGACAAGTTCCCCAGGATTTCAAGTGCGCTTCTACCTGCCATTTCTACAGGTGGAAAGGAACCAGAAGCTTTGTGATAAGCACGAAGGAATCTCGCTGCTCAATTTTGCCGGCAAGATCTTCTCTCGCGTCCTCAATCGTATCAACTACCATCTTGAATATTGACTTCGCTAGAAAAGTTAGATTGACCTTAGACGGCACCGAAGTACCACTGACATGATCTTTGGCGCCCTCCAATTACTGCAGAAGATGCGAATCCGCCTCAGTAATACCTTCAAGGACCTGATGAAGGCCTTCGACACGGCAAAGCATGATGGCATCTGGAAAATGAAGCCAAAATTCTGCTGTTCTGAGCGACTCACGCACATGGTGCGTCGGCTTCACGACGGGATGATGGCACACATCACGGACAGTGAGACATTTTCAGAAGCATTCGCAGTGACCAATGAAGTGAAGCAGAGCTGCGTGCTCGTCCCACCCGCAGTGAGTGCCCTGGAGTTAGCGTTGTGTGTCGGGCCGACAGCCAACTTCTCAATATCCAACGCGTCCATCCACGACCTGCTCTTCCCGGACGACCGTGCGCTCAACACCCCAACAAAACCGGACATGCAACAGAGCACGAATCTCCTCTTCTCCGGCTGCGCCAACTTCGGACTGACCATCTACACGGACGAGAACGGTGGTCGCGCATCATCCGTCACCTAGCACTCAATACAACATCCATCACACCACTGTGAACGGTATCCAAATCAAAAGTGTGGACAGTTGTACCTGTACGTGCACAACTCTCTCACACACAGCGTCAAAATCGACGATGCAGCCTACTGGATCTCCAAAGCCAGCCAAGACTCCAATTGACTGTAGGCGTCGGTCAGGAATGACCGCGGACTACGACTGAAGACGAAGCTCAAAATGTACAGGGCGGCAATCCTGACAGTGCTGCTATATCGGGTCCAGGATCCGGTCCTGCCACCTCAGCTTTAGTATCCGTCGAAGACAGCTGAGGTGGAAGTGGTTGATCTCCGCGACTGCTTCTTGTACACCGTCCAGGTCACCGCCCCATACAGCGGTGTCAGTAGGATGGCTGCTTTGCATATCTTGGGTTTGGTGCTGAGTTGGGGGACGTGATGATTCCAGATGGTGTTTTGCAGGCAGCTGGAGGTTTTTCTGGCCTTGGAAATCCGGTGGACCACTTCATCGTCGATTTTGGTGCTGAGAGATAGGGAGCTGCCCAGATAGTTGGAGTTGTTCACGGCCTGAAGTCGGGCTCTTTTCACGTTGATTTGGGGTGCGACGTCGGCAGTGTCGGGTGGCGGTTGATGCGTAACCACCGTTTTCTCCGTGTTGATGGTCATACCGAAGTTGTCGCGGGTGGCGTGGAAGAGGTCCATACTGCATGTCTCCTTCTGGGGTGGCGTTTGGGGCGCAGTCGTCGGTGAAGAAAAGTTCACGAACGGCAGTTGTGGATACACACGACTGGTGTTTGAGGAGTTGGTCGTCCGTCTTGTAGGCGACGCGGATCCCAGGGGCGTTCGTCACGGTAGGCTTCCACTAACATGGCAGTGAACATGAGAATAAAGTGGGTAGGCGCGGGGACGCAGCCCTGCTCCACTCCGCTGGTCGCTGCGAACGAATCTGAGACTGCTCTATTGTCCGTGACACGCGCCATCGTGGGACTTACGCAACATCCGAGTGAACCGCTGGAGACAGCCGAATTTTTGCATGATTTTCCACAGTTCTTCACGATTTGCCGTATCGAAGGTTTTCGTCAGATCCACGAAGGTTGAGTAGAGGTGGATGCACATCTCCTTACACTTCTCCTACGGATGGCGGATAGAGAAGATCATGTCGATGGTGATGCGATGGCGATGGAAGCCGCGTTGGCTTTCCGGCAGGAGTCCTCGCTCCAGAAGGTTGTTCAGAAGATTGAGAAGGACGCGAGCGAAGGCCTTCCTGGCGATGTTCAGCACGGAGATGTTTTGGTGGTTGTGACAGAGTTGGTGGTTCCCCTTCTGCTTCTAGAGATGGTCGATTGTGGTTTCCTTGAAATTCTGAGGAACTTGTCCCTGGCGCCACATCTCCTGGAGGAGCGTTGTCAGGTGATCCATAAGTTGGAGGCCTGCGTGCTTGAGACCTCAGCAGAGATCGCTTCTGACCGGGGCGCCTTATCGCTAGACAGCTGCTCAACGGTCCTGATGGCTTCATGGAGGATAGGCGGGAGGTCGGGATCGACGTTGGTCTCAACCTGAGGCAGACAGGCGATGGCGGCGTCGGAGACGGGGGAGGGACAGTTTGGGACGCCTCCGAAGTGCTCGGCCCATCACCACAGAATTTGTGTATTCTCAGTGAGTAGGGTACTGCCGTCGGCGCTGAGAAGAGGGCGGTTCCACTAGCTGTGTTACCGTAGGCAACCTCGATCGCGGCGAATAAGTTCTTTCATTTGTTGCTGTCAGTGTAACCTTGGATCTCCTGAGCCTTGCGAGCCGTCCAGGCGTCCTGCATCTCCCGCAGCCGCTTTTGCACAAGATGGCAACTACGACAGAAAGCTGCTTTTGGCGTAGGTCTTGTGCAGATGATTCTTTTTCGGCGAATAGGTTGCTGATGTCGGCGTCGTTGTCGTTAAACCAATCCTGATGTTGACGGCGTGCGCGACCGAGGACAGCCGGGACGGTTGACTGGATCGTGCACCTCAACTGGCCCCATCGGTTCTTCACGGTGGCTTTCTCTTCGTCGGCGGCGGGGACGACTGGAAGGTTGGCCAGTCTTTGATCCAACTCTTTACTGAAATGCAGATGGTGGGCAGGCAAAGACAACAAAGCAATATTCATTTTACCTGGGGGTCGCTTTCATTGAGGTCTCCTGCGTGTCAGTAGGCGGATCCTCATCTTGGACAGGACGAGGCGATGGTCGGTCAGCCCGCCGGCACCCAGGATTGTCATTGTCACCAGCACGTCCCGATGGTCTCGCCTTCGAACGAGGACAGAGTCTGCAGATGCCGTTGTCGCGACCGAGGGTCATCCAGGTCACCTCCTCCGTCTTAGGAAGGCGGAAGGAGGTGTTGGTTAGGGTGATACGGTGTTCTGCGCAGGTTCGTGGAGAGAGCAGGTCATTATCATTGGAGTCGTTGAGACCATGGGGACCCAGCATTCCTCTCCAGACAGCATGGTCTGTGCCGACGCGGGTGTTGAAGTCACCAAGGACAGTTAACTTGTCCGCCTTAGGCACAGTCGCCAGGAGAACGTGCAAGCCCTCGTAGAATTTGTCCCTTGCACGTCGAAGCTGGTGATCAGCAAGCGTAGACGCTGATGATGGTGGCAAATTTGCCTCTCGGAGGGGAATGCGAAGGTCCATCGCGTGACCGCTGATGCCCTACGGCAGACAGGGAAGTCGTCCCACGATGTCATCCCATATGGCAAAGACGACGCCCGAGTCCTGTCGCTCTGCTTTGGGCGACTGCTCCATAAGAAAGTGTAGCCGGCGCCCACCTCCTCCAGTTGACCTTGTTCAAAGAACCGGGTCGCACTGAGTGCGGCGATGTACACCTTGTAGTGGCCAGTTCCCAAGCGACTGGCGTCGTCCTTCGCCCCGGCCGGTTTCTCCTTGAGTTATCTAAAAGGGAACGAACATTCCAAGCTGCCAGATTAAGCGGGTTCACCCTAGCAACCTGTGGCGTGGGGCGGAGAGCGGGTGGAAGTAGAGCTATATTGTTGTTTCTTGTTTGACTGTTTCGACCGCATGTTAAGCAGTCTTCCAGCCACGGTCGACGCGCAGATGTCGTGAATGCAGCTTAGTTTAAGGCATCACTCATAACCCCCACCTCCTTGCAGGGGTGAGCAAATCTCTCCCTAAATAGGGCTGCTTTGTCGCACCAGAAGGATACCACTGTTTAATATGGCCCACGGGCTTTAGAGAGAAAATGACCAATGGCCTGGACCGCCTACACGATTGCTGGTCCACCTCGCCGTAGGACTTTCAGTTGTGGGGTAAGACAGTAGTGTAGTGTAGAGTGATAGATTAAGGGCAGAGGGGTAGGCGGAGAGAAGGCACGAAAGAATAGAGAGGGGCGGGTCATCCAGCCACTGAGTCAGTAGCTTGCTGAGTGCTGAAAGGTGACGGTGATTAGGCAAGAACATTCAAGCGTCCTTCGTCCCAACTTGGGTCATTTACACCTGGCCTCCTGCGGATAACAGGCGAAGCCTCATTTTGAAACGCCGATGACGTGGTCCGTAGAACTTCCGACCGTGCGAGAAGAGAGTAGAATAGAGAATAAAGGGCGGAGAACGGGTGCGAGGGAGTATAAAGTGGCAGGACTTCCAGCCACTGTGTTAGAAGCGTGCTGAGTGCTTGTGGCCTTCTGCGAGGTTGCAGACGGAGCATCATCTGGCAGGTGACGATGCGGTGATTTTTGCAGCCAACGGAGGTGAAAGGGAAGCAGAATTACCGTGTTCGGAGATGCACACACGGATACCCTCACCTGGTCTGGCCCGCCGGTCGAAGCGTCTGCCGGGGTGTGACCGCTGGACAGAGCCTAACTTCGGAGAGCCGTATGTGATAGTTTGGCGGCAGTTAATGGACGTTAAGCGTAGTCAACACTTGCAAGCAAGTGACACCCCGACATCCCCCGCATTGCCCATGCACGCCCATTCATCACACAAGGTTGTATCGCCACATGAGCATCAATGACGACGGACTTCTCCGCAATATTGACACACAAGGCATGCCTGGTGCAACGAACAACTTTCTCGTCTCATGTGCTTCCAACTCCCCCCTTGCCACCAGCGAGTCGAAGGCTACCAACGTCAACACCGCAATCGATTCAGCAGCTCCCAACCGATCCCGCCCATATTGCCACCGCACATGCACATTATTTATCAGCCTGGTCGGTCAATTGCGAATCCATTTCACAGAGACTGGCGAGTCATCGCAAATGCCTCAATGGTAGGCTCTGTTACCGTATGGGCCTACATGGTCATATGCGCATCCATAAAAACCTGCTGCAAAACACTCCTAGTCAGACCAAATCATCAGCTATCTCCTCACCAGCCCATAGACCGCACATGAACCCGCCCACACCACCCAAAACAAGCGCCCAATAGGCACCTATGTCGTAATTGTGAAGCGTTTTTTCGACTCATTCTCCTTGTGGCCTCTGTGTTTCTCACTATGAGAAGTCTGACTCGCTCGGAATTATCACACTGTGCCATTAGTCCTGGCTTGGAAGGTTGCCGACTGACGATTCAACGCTGTCCTCACGATGTGAAATAAATAAATATATGATTTTATTAAAAGACCCTTGCAGGTCTCGTCATAGTAAAAATCCTGGAGTGGTGTGTGGGGGCCAGGTAGCGTGTGTTTGCCCGCGCAGACGGTTTGCTTTTAGCTTTGTCTGCTGCTTGCGCCCAAACCCCCACCAGGCAACAGACCGGTTTGGACAATGGACTGATGCCCGTGAGAGGGAAAATATTTTGAAGTCGACGCCCAGCGTATACTCCTCACTATTAGCAATCTGATACGCTTAAATCTATCACAGTGAGCTAACAGTTGTGGTTTAGAATGCTGCCACCTGACGGCATAACTCGGTTTTCCTCCTAAAACGGCGAGTCAGGCTGTAATGGTTTCCTCCTTATGTGACCTCTATGGCGGTCACACTCGATTGGCATCCGGACTGCCCGTCGTCCTTATTTATGTGAAATCCTAGTCCTCTGTATGTGAACCAGGCGTGTGTCGAACTCGCAGACGAGCCGTTTAGTTTTACAAGCTATTGCACCTGATTCAATCTCCGGCCTTCTATCTAAACTCCAGATCCAGGTGGGTAACGAGGAGAGAGTGGAGTGGATGCCGCACAAGTCTACAGTCACTATAAGTTAGTGCACACTGAAGTCACCGCCCATCCGCCACCCTACTATGCGACACAGTTGACAGCTCGAATGTCGTTGCCGACGATGTCCACCGGATGCTCCACAGCAGACTAAGAAGAAGCAAGGCCACTTGCGCGTGATTTCTTTTATAGGGATCGTAGATTTGCGCTACATATACCGCATTCTCTTCTCCCCACCTTGGCCCGATGTCAAGGCATAATCAAGAAGACCGGAGGTGGGAGGGTGCGCAGGTGGCTGGCACGGCGGGGCCGACATCTAGGCGTAGCGCCACACACCTGGTTCACAACAAACACTTGGCCAGGATTTGAATCGACAACAAGAGCAATGACTGGCGCGGCCGGAGCCGCCCGTGGGCGGGCCGCCACACTCGGCCACGATCAAACGGAGTGGAAGTGCCATAGATGTTATATTAAGAGGGAGTCATTTTAGCCTGACTCAGCCGACCGGTAGCCTATCAACGTACAAACTCACGGCTGGGCTGACTGAGGGGACGGAGTTGGAGCGTCAGCTGTCAACCTTCCAAGCCACAGCACTTCACGATAATCTCAGGCTCGATCGCACATGCAACACATGAACCACACGGAGAAGGAGCCGAGAAACACACTTTCCACATTCGGGAGAGGTGCCGGTGTTGTGGGATTTTGGAGGATTATGTGCGTTGTGCATGTGTTGGTGGGGAAATGTTAACGACGTCTGAACTGTCACCAGTGCCAAAAGTAGTAGTAGTAGTAGTAGTAGTAGTAGTAAGGGCACTAAAAGTAATGGTGTTAGTTACGGCGATATAAGTGGTAGAAAGGGTTGCAGTAGTAGTAATCGTGGTGGTAATTATTGTCGCATGGGCCCCACAACTGGTCACACCGCAGATGTTTTGGACAAAAAGGGACGCCGAATTATGCGTCTACAAGTGTTAATTTTACCGTGCAGTTTTCCCGTCAGCCCACAGTTACTGCTAGGCGTGAGGTGGGTGGTCGCGACACGTCCAAGCTTAAGCTTCGCGCCGGGCCTGGTAATTCACGCAATCCAACCGATGGAAGGATGGCAGACTCTGAAAATTGACCCGTTCGTGAGAGGGGGGTACATCCTGTGAGGCTTGGTGATACGATGGCACACTGGGTCTTCAAAGCTAGCCACGTCCTGGTTCGCCTGCAGAACATCGTCTGGAATCGTCACGGTTTACACCTCATCAACAAACTCAGGATGTACGAAGCGGCCATCTTACCGACGTTGTTGTATGAAGCGGAGATCTGGACGACGTATAAAAAGCAGTCGCGGAAGCTCAACGAGTTCTACATCAGCAGCTCTCAGTGGATACTAGAGCTGAAATGGTAGGACCGGATCCCAGATACGGCAGTACTGGAACGGACGGGATTCTTCGGTATCCACGCTGTGCTGGGAAAATAACTTCGCTGGAGCGGTCATCTCGCGGTGATGGACGACGAGCGGCTACCCATCCCGCTCTTCTATGGAGATGTCATCACAGTTTCTCGTCGACAAGGGGGTAAAGTTCGGCACTACAAAGACAGTCTGAAGACTTGCCTGAAGTTCCTGCAGATCAACTCGGCCAACTGGGAAGATCTCGCCCTGGATTGACCGGCCTTGATGAGGACGGTGAAGATATGCGCAGCGATCTACGAAGCCAACCGCATAACCACCATCAAAGCCAAACGTGGAGCTTGAAAATCCCATCAACCCCCGCCGCGCAACGTTAACGCTCAACCGTCTCGAACCTCTCCACGGTATCAGCGGACATTCCGGGCACATATTAGTCTTATTGGACACCTCCGAACTAACTGTAGCACCCGACGACACCAACTGGTGCCTCTCCGTCCACCTCTTTCTTGGCCACCATGTCGATAGCCCATCCTAACGGAGCCCTCGAACGTCGTCGCCATACTCCACCACCGCCAATACAAACGGTCCTGACGCACTCTCAAACATCAACCTCATCGCCGCCAACACCATTTATGTGAACTCGGTCGCAATCTGTCCACACTGCCACCACACAACCACCTGTCACATCGGTCTGGTCGGTCACTCGTGAATCCACCTCATAGAGACTTGCGTACCATTCCCTGGAGCCCCAATATGCATTCGCCACATCCGCCTCAACTCTCCTCAGTGCCCCATACATTCCGCCACCGCATGGGCCTAACAGGTCACATGCGCATCCGCAGAACCCTGCGGCAGAACACTGCGACTATATCACACCACCACGCCTTCTCCCAACAGCACCTGCACCAGACATCAAGATCACCCATCGCCGCATGACGCAAGCCCTCAATCTACACCTCTAATTTAAGTTGGAAGTGTGCTTCTCGGCTCTTGTGCCACATATGTGATCCGAAGCTAGGAATATCACGCAGCGCCAAGGCCGTGGCTTGGAAGGTTGTCAACTGACGCCTCAGCCCAGTCCAAGCAGTCTACGCAGTTGTGTGTTTTGCGTGGAAAAGCGGACTGGTATGCTGAGGATCA